AGCCGACTCGAAAATCGGCCGAAATGTGCATTTCGTGCCGAGCCCTGATCTACATTATCTACATTAGCAATAATCAGTCTCTTCAATGTCACAACGAGACTTAACGTACACCCGGTATAATTCTCGGGTTCGTATCCCGCTGACATATTGTTTCTTTTGGCCCTATTGGTCGTAACGGACGCGTTCTCCGATATCTTCAACTTTACTACGCCGTAACAGGATTTCGGGGACACCCGGTATGTTGCGCATGTTGATATTCGGTAGTTCCGCTCCTTTTATGCACTACGCGTGTGTAACGGTTGCGATTTTTGATATCTCAAAATTCGATATACAAAAACGGGATTTCATACACACCCGGTATATCTTCTACGCTCGCCTCCGAGTATTCCGCTCCTCATGCGTCCTAGTCGGTTATGACGGTGGCGTTTTTTGATATATTAACATTTATTATGTAAAAACAGGATTTCGTGTACACCCGGTATATCTTTTACGTTCGCCTCCGAGTATTCCGCTCCTGATGCGTCCTACTCGGTTATAACGGTGGCGTTTTTCGATACGTTAAAATTTGTTATGTAAAAACAAGATTTTGTATACACCCGGTATATCTTTTTGGCCCAGGATTTGCTCCCGTACTTGTTTCCTGTCGTACTTGTACGTAACGGTCGCGTTTTTCGATCCCGCCGTTATTTGTGTGTCAATCGTCAATTTCGCGAACCCCCTTTTTTATCCGGTTCTGGTCGCGTTTTGACTTGCCGCGTATTCTTCCCTCGTCTATTTTGCTATTTCGGATTTTCCGAAACTATTGAGGTTTCGCGCCTCTAACAAACTAAAATGATTTATCTGTTTGGCTCTTTTAACTGAGCCTAAAAAACGATAAATGAAATAATGGAAAATCGTATTGTTTTTAGGTTGATCCTATCGGCTATATATGTGATTTACACCTAATTTATATTTTTTTGTGTTTTTGTCATTTTTTACTTATATCTATTTAATCTTACTTACTACTACGTATACGTATTTACATATGCGCGGTTCGGTCCCCCGCTTGCTGCATTGGTGAGGCTGAGTCCGGAGTGGCGGGGGGGGGGGGGGGGGGGGGGGGGCGGGGGCGAGAC